AGGCTGCTGCTGTTTGCAACCTGCAGCTTCACAAACTGTTAGGCTGCTGCTGTTTGCAACCTGCAGCTTCACAAACTGTTAGGCTGCTGCTGTTTACAACCTGTCACCTGTCAAGACTGCTGCTTAGTTGCTAAACCTGTTGCTGTATAGCTATGTAACTGTTTCAAAACAGCCTGCTGCACAATACAACTGAACACAATACAACACTTCCCTGCTGCACATTTTTATTTTCAAATTTTAACCACCCTTCACAGTTGCTAAACGAGTAAGCTTATATCTAGCTCGAACTTGTCCAACAAGGTACAATTGACCACTTGGTTTACTAATTGGCACAACGATTGCTTGAAGATAGCCTGAAACCAAGTTCAGACCAATAGCAATCAAGAGGCCAATAAATCAAGCACAGAAGGCAAAACAGAATTCTAATCTTGTTACTGTTGCAAAACTTCTTAAAAGGCATCAAGCTTCTTAAACCACAAAACCACAAAACAGGACACAACAATGAAAGTAAGCCTGTCAAAACTCTGGAAGCATGTGTTCAAACTGGACAGCATGCGAATCTTTCAAATGTTGTTGCTGCTGCTGTTCTTGTTACTGTCGGTTCCAAACTTGCTGTTACACCTTGTTTTGCTGCTAGAAATTGTTGTTTCAAAGCAAATCTACTTGCACGAAAACAACTCAAAAACAGCAAATTGTTTTAAAGCAAATCACAAACACAGCTTCAATTTGCACACAGATCATCACAAACCCAATGCTGCTGCTTCTTCAACCTGCACTACCTGCAAGTGTTAGCTTCTGTTTCAAATCTGAAAAACAACCACACAGAACCTTTTAAACATAGCCTGTGACAGCAATATTATAAACCTGTGTGTGCACAATTAAACAGTTAAACAGAAGCTGTGTGTGCTTTGTTAAACAGAACCTGTGACATAACCTGTTTTTTAAACAGCAATGGTTGATGCTGTCAAGATCTTCTTTACCTGTTGAGCTACCTACTGTTTCAAATCTCGAATGATTCCTCCTGAGCTGCTGTTGGAACTGCTTTGCTGTCAAAATGTGCACGCTGTCAATAAGTTCACAGTTTCAGACTTGAAACAGCAAGACTGTTAACCAATGCTAGCTGCTGTTTTTCTTTGCTGCTACTTTCACTGTTTGGCTGCTATTTTCACACCAACAGCTGCTCACTGCTGTTTCTCTCTTCTTGCTGCTACTGTGAAGTTGCTAACTCGCACACTACAAATTTGACAATCTGTCAACAACATCACAGCATAGCAGTCAATATACAGCACAACAATACACAACAGTTTGTTAAACTTGACACAATCGATTCTTGAAAAGATATTGAATAAAATACCAAAATGAATCAAGAAATTACAAACAATCAAGAATCTGGGTAAAAATGATTGAGCGGTTTAGAAGTCCGCTCAACTTTCTTCAATGTACAAGCTCTAAACCTAATCCGGTCAAGTGGTGACCGGTATAGCTTGAAATCCGGTCAAGTAGCGTGCGGTTTAGAATACCGCTCAAGAAACCTTGCGTACTGAACGAATCAGAACCTCTAATCCGGTGAAGTTATGACCGGTGTAAATGAATACCGGTTGAAATACCGGTCAAGAGATGATCGGTTTACCCTTAGCCGAGAGATCGATTGAAGCTTTGAAGCCAACCGGAGAACAATCCGATCAAAGATTCTGCGGTTTATCTCCAAGTCCTCACAAACTTCATCGATTTAGGAACAAGAACAAGTATGCGGTTTAGCCTGTGAGTTATCTAGATGGGTGTCTAAACCAGATGAACAAAATGGGCTTTATTCTTTGGGCCTTAAAATTTGGACGGCTTAACAATTTTAAAACAAACTTAGAAAGAAAATCAGATCAAAACCTATCAAAAACACAAAAAAAAAACTAAAAGATTTAAAAAAATGGATCAAAAATACTGGTTTTAAAAAAAATTCAAGAACACGAAAAAAAATTTAAAACACAAAAACCCGATCAAATCTTGATTAAAATTGATCAAATCGTAAAAGTTTGTGAATAACAAAGATTCACAATTCAATTTCGAACATTTTGATCCTGTTTTTAATACAAAAACACAAGATTTTATGAGAAAATCGGATCAAAAACGAAGAAAAATGACAAGAACACGAAAAATTCAGAAAATAAAAAAAAAACTTATCTGATCAACTTCTTTTCCTGATTTCTAGCATTCCAGCTCTGATACCAATTGTGTGTCCACAATTACTGATCAATCTTCATATTAAGTTTCCTTCAATGGCAGATTCATGGATTTATCATTCAAGAACACTATGAACACTTTATGAATATTGAGAGGAAAAGTCAATCCTCTCAATTCAGTCAAACCTCTTATTACTAATCTGAATATTACAATTAGCTCCTCACTCCTCTAATTACAAATATTAAACCATATTTATATGGTCAACCTAACTAACAAAGTCAAAGTCAAACTAGTCTAAGAAAGTCAAACACGCTGACTTTACAATTATAGACTAAAATTAATCTTTCAAGACGAATACAATTAATACTGATTTTTCAATCCTAACATACACTCATTCAAATTTCAAAAATTCTCTCATAACTCTCCCTAGAAAACTTAAGAGTCATCTTCATCTTCCTTCATCCATTCCAGCCGATTTCTTCATCCATCTTCATCATTTTGTCAAGATTTTGAAGATACAACATTCATTACTCATCCAACAAGGTAATGCATTCATCCTTTCATCTTTTTCTTGTATGTTTTTGGGAGAAAAACCCACTTTATTGCACTCTTTATCCTCTTTTCTATATGTTTCGAAAATGTTGAATCTGAAGGTGAAATTATACACCAAAAACATGTAAAAATGTTTATTTGATGGTGGTAATCCATGACCCAAACATTAGAACTCAAAAAGTTAGGAATAAATCATGATTTTTTGTGGTTTATTTCTTAAAAACATCATAGTCTGGTGTTGACAGATTCTATGGTTGTGCACAACTCGTCCATATTTTGTAGATGTCTTGTTCAAATGTCATGAGGTTTCTTTTAAAAGTTTATTTACTGAGTTGGGGTTCAATTCATTTGGTTTCACTCAAAAACATTGAGCTTTGACCCCCCAAATACTCAAAACATTGTATATATGTATCTGAGAGTTTTTTAGTAGGTAAACCCTACTTTGAATAGTCATAACTCGCTAGATAATCATCCAAAATTGTTGATTTTTCTTCTGGATGTTAGTTTAATGAGTTACCTTTCAAATGCCACCGATTTCACTCAATATTATGGTGATTTGAGGTTTTAAATACTCAAAATAAAATGAACATGCAATCTGTCCAATTCTGACAGATTTGTATATAAATGTTCCATCGACCATATCTCTCTCATAACTCAATGAAAAAGAATTATTCTTCTTTTGAGAGTTAATTTTATGGGTTTTCTCCTACATGCAAGTGGAATCACATAAAATTATGGAGTTTTGATCTCCAAGCACCTAAAACTCTCTATGTGTGCAAACTGTGAAACCACTAGTAGGTAACTCTTCTTTTGAATGTTAATATCTTTCTATTTACTTGTTCTCAATGTATGATTCTTCTTCTAAAACATTATTTTATGAGTTAGGATTCATTTGAATCCAGTTTCACTCAAAAATATGATGTTTTGAGGCGTGAACCTATTTATTTAAGTCAAGTGTGCAATCTGTCAACTAATGACAGATGTGTGCATGTVACTTTAAGGTATCATATCTTMCTCTCAACTCATCCAAAATGAGTGATTTTTAGTTTAAAAGTTTCGTATAAGTGTTAGGTTTTCACTTCAACTTGAATTTCTGCAGAAAACCTAGTAAAACTATTTTAATGAGTGTTTTACTCAGTGCTATAAATGAAATTTGGTCATGATGACTATAACTCAGTGCTATAAATCATATAAAAAGGTGGAAATTTATCTCATTTTTTAAGTCACTTTATTTGATCATTTTATGTAACTTAAGTTTCTGTCCAAAATCAAGAATTCTGGATTTGGTTAAATTGTAAAAGTTGATCTTTTATTTGATTATAGCATCATTTTCGGAATAAATTAATTCTTTAATGAGCATATGGACATTATGTATATTTGGACTATTGATAATATTATGGAACATAAGTAGACAAATAAGGACTTAAGATTTATTAAACCCCATAGGTAGAGATAAATCAATAAGTGATGGTTTTGGATATTCCTATTGATAGGGAATCGTTGATTTAGCRTGGTATTCGGATCGTATTGCTTTTTCTTTGGGGAGCTATATATCAAAAGTGAGTTTCACGGCCCTTTTTTACCAATTTCTCGTTTTGGGGTGAAAAGCATGATTATTGAATATTTGATGGATTTATATCGATATATGAATCTTGTTATGAGCATATAATTGTATACACTATTGATATGTTGAGATTGAAATTCCCGTTTATTTCCACTACTATTAATTCATTTTTGAACCCATGATTCTTGTGGATAGCGCTATTTGGTTGTTATACCCACCTTGTTACTGACGAGTAGGGGTTCACTTGGTCATTTTAATTTGCTCTACACATGTGGCACGAAGTGGTCACCGCTGAGGTAGTCCGGAAGGAGTTCTACTCATGTGGGGTTAGCCCCACCACTGAGGTTGTTCGGCATGAGTTCTACAAATGTGGGGTTTAGTCTCACCTCTGAGGTAGTTCATAAGTATGTTCTACACATGTGGTTCGCTACCACCTCTGAGGTAGTTCGTGGGGCGCTTGTAGGTTTAGTAGTGGCTCAACAAATTTATATCATGTGTATGACGTTGTTTTTAAGATATTGTTTATAAATTTATAATTGGGATTGCTGCATTTAAAATTGTTTTGTGCATATAAAACCTGTGAACTCACCAACTCTTGTAGTTGACACTTGTTTGACATGCTTTTTCAGGGTAAGAAAGACTCATGGTGACACTTATTAGAAGACGTGTCACATTTATCGATTTCAAAACTWCTTTTATGTTTATTTTGTAAATTTGTATTTGGGACTGTAAACTTTAGTTTTGATGTAACTATGTTTTAAATTGTATGGTTGTGTTGTTTATACACTATTGCTATGAGACTCTACCTGCCATACGTCGCGTTTCCGCTTTCGCGGGGTGTGACAGATTTGGTATCAGAGCAATAGGTTATAGAGAACACCGGTTTTCTAAGAAAACCATACACTATAACCCCAAAATTTTACGAATTAATTTTCTTAGTTAGAGTCTCAAAAATTTAAAACAGACATACTACTAATATAACTAGAACGGGTAACTTCTTAGCATACTCTAACTAGGCATAGCCTGATCACCTGTGTCTAATTAAGTATGTATAATGAGAGACGCGGATTGGTTAAGTTAGGTGTTTGTCTAAAAGTTAAAGACTTCTTACTCATTAAGAAAAGCACAGTTCGCTTGTGTGAGTTTGCATAAATATTTGTATCCTTTCTATAATGATTTGTTTAATGATTTTAAGATTTTTTTTAAAAATATCGCAGCATTTATGTCGGAAAATGATCATGTGAACTCCGAAGAATACGATCCCTCATAGCACAGCTATGATAGTGATAATGATACCACTGAATCTTCAGCGCGGTCACCCACCCCACAACCGCCTAGCTCTGTGCCCGCACAGCCTGTACCGCCACAAGGAGCCAGATTTCGTGCTACCGCCCGAATTATCATTCCTTCACCCGTGAGGATGACTTTCTCCGCCCCAACTGGAGCTGTGAGGGAGCCATCATAATCACGCACTCGTAGTATAACACCTCCACCCGCTACCAGGACTACATCGGAGGGTACTCCGGGTATGACCACCCTGGAGAAATTGTGGATTTTGGGTGTATCTCAAGATCTGGAGATGTGTCAGCTTAGGCTGGAGCACTATCGACACTTTGCAGATGGAGTGATCACAGGCCTAGGTACTCAAGATAGTATGATGGATCGTTCACTAGAGTTGATCTTCATAGCTAGGAGGGCGATCAGGAGGTTGCACATATACTTGGCGKTGTTAGCAGGAGCTTTGATGATAGTGATGGGGTTGCTCATTTGGAGTCTATTGCGTTAGAAGATTTTAATTGTTAAGTTATTAATGGTTGAACTTTAAGACTTTCTTTTGAGGCTTATAGCCGTGGTTTGTGAACAATTTTCTTTATATTGCACATTTATATTTTATTTATGGATCCTATGAGATTTTGCCTATAGATAGTTAAGTCTTATTGATTATAGTTTTAATGATTGTATCTGTGTATTAGAAGTATGCCTCCAAGAAGGAATACTCGCAGCATGAGAGAAAATCCTGAAAGCCAAACACCTGATATAGCATAGTTGATAGCTCAACAAATACGAGAGGCAGTACTAACTATTGTCGCTCAGGTCACAGCAGGTATTCATGCAAATCAAGTGAGTGAAGGAGGCCTTAGTACCGAGATTCCCGCCAGAGAGGAGAACCGTAACACCAATGATAGAGGATGCAGTTACAAGACATTCATGTCTTGCAAGCCCAAGGAGTTTTATGGTAAAGAAGGTGCAATTGGATTGTTATCATGGATTGAGAGCATGGAGTCGGTACTCCATATTAGCAAGTGTTCCGAAGACTGTAAGGTGGWGTATGMAACATGCCAACTCTAGGGAAGAGCCCTAACTTGGTGGAACATACAWRTTCAAACCCGTGGTCGTCAAGCTGCCTATGAATTATCATGGGAAGAACTCAAAAAGT